CCTCTACACTAGTTCTGCCCAGTGTGGTGTATTAAAAATCACCACTAGTCTCTAGGAAAAGCTACTGGTGACACACACGCCCACAGACAGCTGGTCAGTGGAGGATCACCAGTACAAACACTAAAACATGCTCTTGTCATCTTTTATGCAGTTGAAAGGTGCAGAACATTACAGACTGCAGCTTTAAATCTTTAAATAATTTCAGCTGCCAATCATTCTGCTGGTCAAACCTGCATATACTTAGTCATCGCAGCATGACTGTTGGTTCTTTCATGGGAAATGACGCCAGTGATGTTCCTGTGTGGTCTGTGGGGGGACTTTGAAGAGCTCTACATACAAAACAAGAAGAATTACAGAACTCTTAGGAGATAAATACGTGACGATACAATAAAGACTCTGAGAATCCATTTTTCAGTCTGTCTGTCACTGGAACAAATCACAATGGTTTTCAGTGACAGAAAGAAATATGCTTTGAGCAACAGAAGACCAGGATATGTGGCAAACAAAATCTTGCAGAGTCCAATTTTCAACTTCCTTCTATTGCGCTCTAACAGATGATGCTGAAATGTGCTCTTTGCCAGGAGCATTTATGAACAAAAGCCAGCCTAAAAAAACCCCTCAAGAATCCTTGTAATTGGTACTATTGAGTGTTCTGTTTGTGTGAATAAGTGTGTGTGTGTAAGCATAAGCCAGTTGTATGGGAGAATTCAACATTAGTGAAGCTGGTGTGTGTCACATTCCATTCCTGACTGAGCCTCACTCAACCCACCCCCCTGGTCTGGTTCCTACCGACTGATTCTGTTAATTACTTTGCCTTTTTTATTCTGAGAGAGCTGTGAGAAATGCCTCTCACCGCCACCGCTGTCCCCCCCAGAACCCTACAACAACTATTAGCTTAATTACTTACATCTAACGTACTTCTCCAGTAATAATGTCCACATCAGCATCAAAGAGATTTCAAAGAACATCAGCTCCTACCCCTTCTTAACCCTATACACCACTTTCCTTTCAACTCCTTTTTTATCATCACTGCTGCCTGATGTGAGAATGTACCTTCTGCACTAATTTTTAATTTCCCTTGTATTCTTTGGAAGAGCTGATACTGCTATGGTTCTGTGTGGTTAAGCTTTGCGCACTGTGCGCACACAGACTCATTTGGGCAACAGCATAGCCTGGGAAAGTTTGTGCGGAGCACATAAAATAGGGGAGTGGAGGCGGAGGAGTGCCGTGTTGGGGGAATGAGAGAAGAGGTGAGGAGAGGGCTTGGTACGAGGGAGGAGACGCGCCGCGGCAGCTCAGCTGTGTAGAAGCTAATGGGCTCTCATCCCCTTCCCACGACCACCACGTGTTTTCTGATGGGCACTCAAGCGGCGAGACACATATTGGTTTGGCTACTGACACAGAACTCCAGCCAGCTCGCTTCAGTACTGCTCTGCTCTGCCTATTCAGCATCTGTCTGAACTCTGGTTAGCCTGTATATGACTTTAGGACTGGCAGAGTATGAATCAGTAACCAGCCTCTAATAATGTGAGGAGGTAGTGGTTGATCTCACTTGCTGGAACAGCAATAATGAGAGATGAAAGACAGAAGTATGGCTCACAGACAGACAGTGACACTGATAAACTGAGTGGCGTGATGAACAGGGAGCCACCGCAAATTGATGTTTGTCTCTGTCAGCAAAGAGAAAGAAATTCTCCATTATGGGGCATCTGCTAAACTACAGCCTCTCACATCAGCACATGTGTATATTTTATCATGAAGCATCACACGGTTTAATCTTTAACATAAATTAAAAGATATCTTTGGCAGCTTTGGCAAGGATTATGCAACAAATTTTATGCACGGAAATGTATAAAGTAAATTGTAAATAGCTTGAAAGTTGAGGAAACCCTCTTAGTACCAGTATGATTAAAGCTAACTAATCCAAATGTGCATAACTGAAGACAGTGTTCAGGCCCTCCACAGTCCGTCTGGACATTATCCCCTCTAATTTGTGAGAATAAAACTTCAAGCCCCTGATTAAGTGATCCAGGGTAGCCAATTGTTGTGACTGTACTGTGTGATGTTTGATCCAACTGTGTGGAATGTGGCGACCTT